AGACCTTTCGCTGCGAGGGAAGAAGAAGACTACTACTACTACTACTACTACTACTACTACTGCTACCGCTACTGCTACCGCCACTACTGCTACTACTGCTGCTGCTGCTGCTGCTGCTATTGCTATTGCTACTGCTACTGCTACTGCTACTGTTACTGCTACTGCTACTGCTTCTGCTACTGCTGCTGCTGCTGCTGCTGCTACTGCCACTGCTACTGCTACCACCACTCATTCCTAACTTCATTGCAAGTGTCCCAATTACGATGGGTCTGCTTACTTCTTCTATTGAACCGCTGACAGTCTTCCACTTACTCACTCTACAGATTCAAGGATTGACTCTCCGAAAGCGATTACTTTGAAGCAGCAGGGGGTCTGCCACAAGGCCCTCTACTCCAAACCCACACACCCTCGCAAAGAATATATCCCAAACCATCCTGCGCTCCAATCTTGGGTCCTTTTAGTCCTTGTCTTTCCGGAGATTCTCCCGCCCCTGAGGACTGCAAGGTGAGCAGCTGCCCGCACTCCGGCTCCACACAAGTCTTGGACGACCGCTACGTCCCTGGCCGAGAAATCCAAAGTTTCGGGTTTGGGGGTGTCTTTGCGTTGCATCTTTGGGCCGTTGTGCGGTTCAGGCCGTTATCGAAGCGGCCGTGGAGGTCCTCTACCATCAAAGCACACAGCTCTTCCCTGGGAACGATGACACGGTCCCCAACCAAGTGAAGCTCGCCATCGATCCAGAGGCGGAGATCGTCTACTGGTTCTCCCCACAGCCCAGCACGGGCTATGTGTCTCTGCTTCTTGCCCGTCACTGATTCTTGCTGCAACTGTGTAGGCAGATAGGTGGATTTGCGCTTTGAGACTGAAAACGTCGCAATCGCGAGGTTGTACCTGGACGTCCAGGGATGGACACCCAGCCAGGGAGTCTTTGAACCCTGCGACGTCGGCGAGGTGGCGGGCCACTATGCATACGGTTCTTGGCCACTCGTGATGCAGAACAGGCGCTTATTTTCTTGAGTTAGATGCCCGGACAGGTGTTCCCCCAATGCTGACTGAGGTCCTCCTTGGTGGTCGCCTGCGATGGCACACTTCTGAGCCATGAGGTGAATGCCATTAAGGCCTTGGTCACGTGCTCAGCTTCTTTGCGAGGGTAGGGCTGCCCGGAGCGCTTTTTCTGTCTGCATCTACCGTCCAAGAACTTCGCGAACGACACGCACGTGGCTGCCTGCAAAGCGCAGGTCACTCTCTCAGCTTCTGAAGAAAACGTTACGGGCATTTCCAGCGAGTATACCATAGTGCTGCGTTTATGATGATTACAGCGGCTGAATCACAGGGATCAATGTGGACATCTGTGAGGCCGATTAAACAATCCGCAATCCCAGAATTCCCGAAAACCAGAGCTTGTCAAGATCCCCGAACCCGTTGCATTTGGGTTTAGGGTTTAGGCTAAGCTCGGCTGAACCCTATAAGCTGCCTTCCCCAAAATCAGCCTGAGCGCAATCCTAAATCCCAAAAGCCACACAGAGTTGACCCTGAAGAGCCCATGGACAGCAATCAGGAGGCATCCCAAAACCCCAAAACCCTAAACCCCACTAGGCCGCCCTCTGGCCGACTCTGGATCCAGACGGGCGGACCGGTTGGAAAGGATGTTGGGACCGGCGACTTGGAAAGGGTTTGAAGAGCAGCCTTTTTTGTGGGTTTAGTGTTCAGGGCTTGGGGACTCAGGTTTACGGGGCTTAGGCCCAACGTGATTGTAGGAGCTCAGAGCTCCAAGTCTCAGGATCATGGACACCGGGACTGCTTCTGCGACTGGCGCCAACGTGCTCAAGGCCAGGGAAGCCTGGGAAGTCCCGGCCTTGGCCTTCAGGTGAGGGTGTTTTCGAGCTCGAGGGTCTTTGGTTTCTTGTAAGGTGCCTGCTTCCTCAAAGGACGGATGCCGAATGTGGAATAGCCCTGAAGCCCAGTTCCGGATTTCCGTCTTCTACTGTGACAGGCCATGACCTACGACCCGAAACGCGACCAGGTGGGGACTTTGCACGCAATCATTTCATATGGTTGGGTCAGGTGCACGTTCGACGGTGCCCTCAACTCCAACCTTAGATCATTTATGCTCTAAGCCTTGTGCCTCCCCTCCCGCTTGCACCATACATGTTGGTAATCCCAGAGCCCTAAAGCCCTAAATCATCCTGAAGCCCAAACCCCCACCCAAATGGACAGGTGTACTATGCCTTCCGACACACCACGACGACGGAGTCTATCTCGCGCTTCTCGCGGACTGCCGGCCCCCAAGGACCTGGCAACGACGAGGCTTTCGGGGTAGCTGGGTCTGGTTCGAGGCTTTCTGGTTTCGGGGTGTAGCTGGGTTTTGGCCTGGGTTTCCGGGTTTCCGGGTTCCAGTGTTGGGGTCAATGCGAGGTTGGTTGGCCCGAGGCTGTTGCCGGGCTGCGCTGTGCAAAATGCGCGTTCTAGTCCCAGGTGCCGGCCCACAACAGGATCGCTAGAATTCTTCCAGTTCGACAGGACCTGCTTAACGTCCGTCAAGAACCCCTAATTCGGCAGTTTAGTTGCACGGTAACGCTACGGACCGGCCAGCCTTGCGAAAACTGCCTGAGCAGGCCCAAGACAAGTCATGCATTTTAAGCAATAAGCACATGCGTACGATTTATGTATTTATGTATCTGTTTTTTACTTATTGTTGAACTTATTTTGCAACAAATAAATAGCCACAAATGAACTTATATGTATACACATATACATGATATGTGTATATATATACACACATACATACCTACATACGTACATATATACATACAAACCTAGGTATGTATGTATGTATGTATGTATGTCTGTATGTATGTATGTATGTATGTATGTATGTATGTATGTACGTATCTGTGATCTGAAAGATGATCTGCTCCCGTTCGTTTAGGGTTTCTCCATGGCTTGGGATTGTTGAGCCTAAGTCTTGCTGCGTTGAGTTTGCATACATTTGCCTCAGGGCTCGCAGCTCCGTGCCTTTTGGGGCCGCATTCAAGATCTGCGCGGGTTGCTGCAGTAGGAACGCATGTTTTTGCTTTTCAGGGTGCCAAACAGGGTCCCTAAACCCAAAGCCCAAATACGATAGTTTAGGTCTGCCCCGCCGGCAGGTGGTGTATTCTGGCATCTTCTACGAGTGCCGCCCTGAGATGGGCCAGCCCCGGCGGAGTATGGGGGAACTCTCTCAGCAAGTGGGGTCTCAAGTAGTCCTCTGTATGTCGAAACGTACGTATGTATGCATGCATGCATGGATGTATGTATGTAGGTATGTACGTATATTTGTATGTTTGTATGTCAACACATAGATATTGAAATACAATACATCAAGAAGCATATCTGCATAAACATAAATTAACACACACATAACGCATAAAGTAAATACATATACAAGTAGACAGTTAAAAGTACAATCAGCTGTATGAATATTTGTACATACATACACAGTGCCACATCGCCCTGTAAAGGCCAGCGGAACAAGGTTCCACAAGGAGCTAGAGAGAAATCAAGTCAATGACGGATCGTCATACTACAATTGCCCAACTTTCCAAGGTTCCCGCCACGCAGCGACAAGGGTGCCGCCTTCATTGCTGGCTTGGCTCTGGATACGCTCAACGAACAAATCTATGTCTGCATCCCAGACTCGATCTAAATGGGACCGCAAGAGTAGAGTGTTGCAGTGTTGTGGGCACGGTTCGATTGTCTTTTCATAGCACTTTTGTGAGACCTCAGGGTTGGCAGTTGCAGTCATCTAAGCTGAAGTTCACAGTCCCAGCCAAGCAGTCTGAAAGCCAAAAAAGCTTCATCCTGCAAGGTGGCAAACTACTACGGGAACTCAGCCAAGCAATCCCTGGCGATGCTCCCTCTTCCCGAGAACAAGTTTTATCCAGGCTGCAGGGCTGTTCACCTGGTGGGGCCTTGTAGTGATTATAGTGTGCGACACAGCCAGTGAGACGAGCTTGTGGAGCTGACTAGCAGAGGCCTTTGAGCATTTCCCGTCCACCAGACCCAGCGAATACATCCTCCACGCATGGTGAGCATGAAAGGACTTCCACTTGTGATGGTGAGTTAACACTGCTGCTGCTGCTGCTACTACTACTACTGCTGCTGAAACTGTTACTGCTACTGCTACTGGCCTACCACGAGTAGTACGACCAATGCGACTAACCACCACGACGACAACACTACAATTACTACGCAACCGCGGAAAATGACAGCGGCAGTAGGAATGATGAAACTAGCGAGAAAGACGCTGCAGGTGAGAACAAAGTCGTCCACGCAAAGTACTGGCCCATGGACTTGGTCGCCGAAGATGATGCTCCTATTGCCTGCCTGTCGCTGGGCTACTGGAAGACCCCAAACTCGGGGCTTTGTGTTGTTAATTTGACTTCAATTATGATTGGGTACAATTATGACTGGGTACGGTTGGCAGCATTTGAGACTGATCGTTGGCATCATTGCTATGGGTACTCCTCAGCACAGGTACGGACATCAGTCGATCGAGCACTCCAGTGGGTATGGCAACCGCAAGTGAAGCTCAGATTGCATCCTTGCAAAGTCTGCAGTCCATGGGAACTTGACTTTGAAAGTAGCAATTGCAGCCCGTCGGGGGCCGTAGCGTAGCAGAGCAAGACTCGCCGAGGCGAATACCAGGGTGAACGTCTTCAATGGACACTTCGACACACCGGCATGGACGTTATCCTTCCAAACCCGGAGGGCATCACGAGGTGCCACTTTGAAACCACAACTCTCCGAGCAACTGCTAAACTGTCAGCGCTGAAACATGGAAACGGATACTCCCCACACTTCGTTTCTCAAGACTGAAGGGGCCTGAACAGGTTTTGGTTCCATACTCAGCCCTAAAGACGAGAAACCTAGCTTTCATCGGCCAGTGAGACAGCTGTGTCACTTTTGCGTCTTTTGGCTTCCCGACCAACAGCAGCAACAGCAGCAACAGCAACAACAACAACAGCAACACCAACAGCAGCTGCAACAACCACGACAACAACAACAGCAGCAACAGTGACCCCAACAATAATACCAGCAGCAGCAGCAGCAGCAACAACAACAACCAGAGTGATAATTTCGTCCGGTCGTAAGTGCGTTGAGTATCACATAGAATGTCATCGTCATGCGAGAAGAAGGTCGTGCTTGCCGCAGGTTCTATGTCACGGACACCTCCAACAACCTGGCGGTGCTGCCTCCGAAGCCGGTCCTGCTTGGGCGCTCTGCACCCTTCAACTGGACGCAGTTCTTCTACATGCTGCCCCATGCGAAGATCGGTACAAGCAAAACGAATGGCTGGACCTTCCTCAGCATGCCTGTGACCGCCACCGACCTAGGCTACCAGCCCAGCTTTGACCTTTGTGCCGAACTCTGCTCCACGTTCTGGCGCAATGGCACCCAGCGCTGTGTGGCGTTTGACTGGCGCATGTCCAATCACGACTGTGAGTTCTTGAAGGACTTTACGTTGAGTGGCTCAGGCTTGTCCAGTGATCGCATCAAATTGGCTACTTCAGTTCCGCAAACCATAGACACACTAGAAGCTAAATCCAGGAATGTGCCTGACTGCTTGGAATTCCTGACGGCACCTTACAACCCTTCCTTCGCGTGCACTGGGTCATGAACTTTGCTGAAAGGGATGCTTCAAGGTCTTTCAGTAGAGGAAGCCGTGCAAATGAAGGGCCACTGTATGGAGGCTTCTGGAAAGCGGTGAGGGGTGGTCAGCAAATGAGCATGCCTCACCGCTGTGCCTGAGCTGGGTAAAAGAACAGACTTCTGCGAGAGTCACAATACGCCGCATGCAAGAGCAGCAGGAACCCAAGATGCTCCCCAAGCAAAGAGACAGAGCCAGAGCCAAAAGCGCGGTTTTCTTGGTACAGTCCTTGGCTGTGGCGCTAAACTCCTGACCCTACTCGAAGTCTATACAAATCAGAGCTATTTCAGCGTAGCCGACATGCCAAAGCGTAGGAACAGATCCTGGAGATTATATCCGGAGATTGCCAGAAAGTCTTCGAATGCGGAGAGCTTGTAGAGACTAACATACTGGCCCTTCCTGACTGGCATTATTGTTTATGGCTGTTCAATAAAATGAAAATCTACCCCAAAAGCCCTATCCCAATTGTCCAGGCTCCTCTATTGGTGAGTTGAGTAGCTGGGCTACTTTTTGAACCTGAAATCAAGCAGTTTGCTCCAGGAGTTATGACTGCGCCAAACTCTTAAACCCCACGCCCTGAAATCCCTAAGCCCCGAGCACCAAATCCTCAGCGTCCCAACAATCTCAAACCTCATACACGCGGAAACTCTTGAACCCTAAACCTCAAAATGCTCAAATGCTCCATGCAGCCTGTCCCTCAGCAGGTTCAAGTACTAGAGGGGGCAGGCAAGCATGGTGCTCGGTGCCTCAAGGTCAAGTTGCAGGTCGAAGCAGCGTGTGCTAGTATGGGTGTGTGAACACATCCCATAATGCGGGGCATAATTCAATTTTTTTTGTATTTTCTACTCACCAAGCCTCTCCATGGCCAAGTCTCGCGCCCATGTCTCCAGCCTTCCTTCATGGAGGCTAGCAGAACCACGGCCTTCCCAGTATGCAGCCCTCTGTGACTCAGGTAGCGGATGCTGTCGAAAAGCTCATCTGCAATTTGCCTGGTACAGTACCGAAACTGCTTGCATTTCATGTGCCTCTGCTGTGTCACAGCACGTTGCGGCCACCACTTGGTTCAACGCGATCTCTTGTAATCCACAACGACTGCAAGCGGGGAGTGTAAAGAGTGGCACAGGCCGCTTCCCGTGACGCGGATCAGCCACCACAGTCTGATATTCCGCCAAGAAGTCTTGTGACCCATACTGAGCAGCTAATTTATCAGGCTCGCCGGAGTGTCGTCCAGCTGATTAGAGCGGCAATCAAGGTGTTTGGTGGCTTCCCGGTCCAAAGCCGTGAGGAGCGGCAAAACTACTTCCACTTTGTATCGTCGCAATGCATTCTTTCTGACTGCAACGTCTCGCGCTGCGATCTGGAGCAATCCATCCGAGATTCCACCCACTCACGGGGCCCGGGGGCGGGTGTTATTCATCAGAGCTCTAGCCCGACTAGCCCAACACTCACAGGGTAACGGCAAAGCCAATTGTAACAACGTCTTCACCGGATGCAGATCAGGCAACAACAAGATCTTATTGAAAAACAAGAAAGTTTTCAAAATCATTGTGCCGAGGCGCAGGGGCCGACCGAGTTCTCTGACGCTTAATCTGGCACTCACATTACACAGGTCATTTCGATCACCGCGGATGGTTCTCGCCCAAGCAGCTTGCAGCTGGTTCAACCCTGTTTCTGCTCCAGGTGCGAGCGCCAACAACTTGGCCACGTAAAGCACTGCAGGTTCAACTCTGCGAGGAACTTCTAAGGATTCCACTGGGATGGAGAGGCCACTCGACTCCGCCATATGGCAGAATTCTTCAAAAGCAGTTCGCCCTAGGACACAAACCTTATCCAACCGCTTGCCAAAAGAGAACAAAGGGTCAGTTTCAATTCCAAGAAGTTTATAAACAGGCACATGCTCTTCGGCTGACGGAGCATCGAAGCATTCCATGGTGGCTGTCTTGGACGGACCAAAGTTGAAAGCTGCCTTCGCCGATCGTGCATACTTCCCCAAGCCTTCGTTCAAGACTGCTGCCACGCATTGTGTATCTGGATAAGGCGCTGAGACGTCGTCCACGAAAAACAACTGTCCAACGGAGGCAGCCCCCAAAAACTCCATGCAAAAAGCCTTATCATGAAATGACTCCATGTTGTCCAGGGCGTGAATGCTAACCTACTCAACATCGCCTAGGACGAGGCGTTGCTTTAAAGCTGTTGCACACTGCATCAGAAAAACCGAATAGGAAAGCGCCCCAGGCGGAGGGGCTGGGATGAATCTAGTCCAACAGCCTTCCATTGCGGCTCTAGCGAAATCAGGCAAAATAGTGCGTGATGTGGCTGCGACTCTTTCCATTACTTGTCTGAAAGCATGCATTGACGACATGAAATCATGCATTGAGAAGCATCGTCCTTGTGGGATACCTGCAGAACTTGTCAGAATCGACAAGAAACCACTAATGACGACAGCAGCATGGTTTTGTTGGAAAAAGCCATCAAGTAGCAGCCATTCTTTATCCACTACGCAGCATCAGGTGCCAGTCTACATCAAAGCCATACTTTAGGTCAGCAAACAACAAGTATGTCAAAAGTCCTTGGTATTGCCGAAGTTGAGCATGCAGCGCCAGCGTTACGACAATGGCAACTACGTCAAACTTGCCACCAAACTGCATGTGACCTGAGGGCGTCTCTTGGACTTCAAGGTCTACTTGGGCGACCAAATTTGCAAGGTGCAACAGCAGAGGCTCAATCTCTGCAGTGCGACCACTTGTCAGGGTGTGCCCAATGGACAATTGCAAGGCTGGGTTCGGCCACCGGTGAGAAAAAAACACAGACTGTAAGGTCCCGGCAGACGAGCTTATGATCAGAATCGCCTATGTCATCATCAAACGTAGCTGCCCGCGGAGATCCTGGCAATCCCAACACGACATCAATCGTGTTACCTGAATCATGGGTGGGACGGTGGTTCCAGCCCAGCAATGCGTACAGAAGTTTCAATTCAGCGATCCGCTGGTGATTGCTTACAAGGGGAACAAGAGCAACTCAGTTCATGATCAACAATGTGGCGCAGATGCGTATTTCCATCTCCCAACAAATAGCATCGTGCCTAACTATGTTGCTTGTTGCCACTGCTGAAATTTCTGTAAGGCAAGCGCCCATGTGCCTTCGTCGCTTCCAGGAGAGGCACAAAACCCCCCCTGTGACAATGTCAAACTCAGTGCTTCCTGTCGCAGACACTCCAAGCAAAATCGTCCGCTCTGTCAGACAATTTTCAAGGACGCTCGCCGCGTGCAAGGCATCTGTTCTTACCAGCACTCCTATAGAACTCCAGCTAGCAGAGCGGATTCCTAAGAGTTCAAAAGGTGATTGTTGTAGCATTGGGGCTCCCTCAGGCCACCTGGCACTTAGTAAGAAGCAAATGGGGATGTCCTTAGCAATAAGGTGTTCCACAATGTGCTGAAGCCTCCACCACAAGATTTCATTCGTTGCAACTGTTTGCAAGCCAGTGCGCCCTGGATTCAAGCTACCCACTCGAAAAGGCTTCGTTGGGCAGGCAACAGGGTCATCAAGACGCTGTTGTTTTGCTTCGCCCACCTACATATGGTGATGCAACAGTTTGGCGGTAACCAGGCCACCTGTTCGCAGTGTTGACGGTGCGCTTCGGAAAACCACGTAGCTGCAGCTCCGACAAACAGGCCTAATCCTGGCAGCCGGGCCACGCAGCCTCGAGCGACGTGAAAAATATTCTGAGGGTTTGTAGGGACCATATGCAATGAGCTTGCGAAGTCCTCAAACCAACGCTCACGTAGCCTGTCTAGAGCGTCCACGGCTCACAGGCAGTAACAACCTGAAGCTTGAACCTAAGTCATGCTTGAGCCGAAATGGCTACGGCATCTCCCAACAGGACCAAGGCAGACTTCCGAATCATACGAAGAGTTGCGCCTACTCCAATAGCGGCCGCTCGATGGCCTCGAGTTGCTTTGGGTTTAGGTTTAGTTTTCGGGATTTCTTGGGGGTTAGGGCTAACGTTTTGGGGTTTAGGATCTGGGGTCGCGGGGTTCGGGGTTTGATGCAAGAAAGCTGTGCGCGGGGTTCGGCGTCAAGATAGACACCTTGAACTGGGGCTTGTATTATGTCAACACCATACCATACCATACCACAAGACAATGAAAAAAAGGCATTGCAATGTGACCTTGCAGACCAACGAACAGAGTGCAACACACACATCAGCATACGACGGTGTGTAGTGACTCATAGTATGATGCTGCATATGCAATACGTTGCGTGCAGTGTAATGCAGTCACGTTCCTGCAATACACTGCAACCACTCGCAATGGGTTGCATGTCACGGGAACAGACTGCAGACTGTCGTTGCAATTTGAGATAGCACGGTGCTTAGAAAACTCCTGAGGCCCGTCTTGCTTGTTCGCCTTGGTGCCACTGACGGATTCTGCGGATAGCTTCTCTATGTGGCCCAATCCTTGCTTCACCATGCCAACGGCAGACAGTGACGGCAATGCGTGGATCATCGCCGAATCCGGCTATGCCCCGGCTGGAGGCTGGCCCAGCTATGTGCAGCTCGTCGGCAGCTTGTCACGAGTGCAAGACCGCTAGGCTCTTCCCAGTTCCTGTGGTCCCGTGCATGCAAGGCGAGAGGGATATAGCTTCGACAAGGAACGCTCGTTGACCTTCTTCCTGCGACCGGAGTTGCTCGAAGAAACTGCGGAGGCCCAGGCCATGCGCGACATGTGGCGACAAGCAGTGCCAAATGCACGCCTCCTGTCTTATGGGTCTAGGGCAATTTCAGTCTGATCCTAGGCAAGTCTGATTATTCCAAGACCAAGTCGTACCCAGGCTGGTATGGCACCTCGCAGGAAAAAGAGTACACGGTCGGTGACTACGCCAGGAACGGCAATGCCATCTTTCCGGGTGACCTGCAAGCCGAGATCTTCAAGAACAGGGTTCAGGGTGTGGATCCCGATGACACGAATCCCCCTGCCATGCCAACGACTGCAGCATCCTGCTTTGCAAGCGACGTTGTCGCGACAACTACGGCCGCGACAGGCGGGGCGTAGTCAAGCTGGGATTTCCCAGTAGGGTGCTTGAATCGATCTCTGTTTACCCTGTTTCGGCTAGCGCAGTTTGCAAGAAGCTTCAGGTGGAGAGACCGGGGGTACCAGCGACCCCGGCGGCGACGGCGTGTCGTCGACTTCCACCACAGGCTCCTCAGATGATGGGACGAGTAGCCCAGTGCTCGGTGGGACGGCCGACAAGACCATTGGCCTGGGATCTCCGATCCTACTCCTCTCGGTCATCTTCATGAACACCTGATGGCAAGTTTATCAGCCCATGAGTGGCTCACATGCCACTGAGGGGCGGGTGTCTTAGAGCTTGGAGACAGCTTCCAATGCCTCCAAGATGCCAGAAGCTATTTTGAAGCCGTCCTGGCATCAAGACCGGACATTGGGGGAAGCGGCGTGGAGTTCAGAAATCGTAGGACGTGGGTACAACTCAGTTAGCTGCTTCCCCTGGCGGAGAGTTGTGCGTGTGTCTAGAAATCAGAGCTTCCCGATTGGGAACCTTGTATGACTTTGAATGCGACTCTGCACCACGATGCCGTTGCCTCGAAGGCGTCACTGACAGTTGATCCGAACATGAGAGCACTCTCAGCTTAGATTTGCAGACCTCGTCTGGACGTATGTCCGGAAAGGCAACGGCAGTCGAATTCGCAAGTGGGCCTCGGCACACGTTTTGCGTCCGACACGGATCTTGCATTGCAAAAGGTGCAGGCGGAATGTCTTGATGCAGACGTCTCTCAACGACTTGACCGTATTTCGCCGTATTTCTGTCAACCTCGACATGCAAAGTCGCATTGATGTCCACAGGACTGTTTCGAATCAGCTTTCCGGCCATATGCATCGTGGTGTTTCGATCAGTGCAAAACAAGCAAGCCCATCAATGTAGCAACATCCTCACGATAATGTCAACTCCAACATTGCAAGCACTGCAGGCGCATACAAATTGCAATAGCGCGGCAAATACCAGCAAGTGTTCGCGCTAAGCAGCGCCAGTATCAGTGACACTTGCTACTACAGCGAGAACAGCATCACCATCAGTGATGTAGGGTATGCTACTAGTGACAGTGAGTAGTCATGACAGCGAAATAATTACAATGTACAGAAAGCACTTGCATCCGCACTTTCATAGACGCGCAGAGATTTTTGCGTGATGGCAGTTCAACCAGCAACCATGCTCGTCATATGGTCGTCGTCATCGTCGTCATCAAGACTAACTAGACTTGCCAACATGATAATCATAATCTCGACAGCATCGCTGGTAGCAGGAAGAACAATCCTAAGACAATCCTGAGCTGAAGCTCCAGTCCCGCAAGCCCTAAACGCCCAATAGACCCCAGTTCCGTGAACCCACTTAGGGCCTCTGAACCAGGTCCATCTCGCCGGGAATCTGAAGATTTTCGGCCCCAGCCCAAAGGCAAGTTGAGGGTTTCAAAACCCAACCCACCCCCAAGCTCCAAGTTCTCCCAAAACACCTGAAACCCTCAACCCTAAATCCCTAAACCCTGAAGTCTCAACCGGAAACTCTGAGACCCGAGCTTGGAGACCGGCTCTTCGGGGGGTTTTAGGGTTTGCGCTTTGGGGTTTGAGCTTCGGGGTTGGGGGTTTCATCGACGCGTTTGGGTGGGGTTTGAGGAGCCTCTGGGCTTGGTTTTCGGTGCATTCATGATAAAGCACCGTGCCATCTAGGAATCTAGGGCCTCCGAGCTTTGCTTCCGTGTGCAGTCCCCGACACCAGCAGCGCAGTTCATGACGCAAACGGCAGACTACAGAAGCGATGTTTCTTCATCTGTGTAGACCCACAGGGAAACCTGATCTGCTCCAAAAGACCTCCAGTACTGTAAAGCACACTGGGGCACCAAACCTGAGCCTTGCAGGTGCAGTCGGCAGAGCCGTCGGTGCCCGACACCGACCCCGTGATTCGCCTCACAGGCGACTTGGTTCCGGATTTTGGGTGCATAAGCTCACAGTCGAGTATTTCTAGCATTCCGGCATTCGGGGTCTTCCGGTGCTTCCCGAAGAGGTTCAGGGCCTTCGAGTGTCGGTGGTGGTTTCTTGTGGTTTTCTGCACTGACGGGACACTCTTGAGCACCCGCTCGGGATTTATCTACCTTTTCGGCTTGCAGGCTTGGAAACGATAAGCGGATTTACGGAGACTATAGGTGCCTTCAATCCTAAACCCTATGATTCCAAAACCCGCCTAAACCAAAACCTTCGAAAGCTTCCACCCCCTGAGCCTTTCCTGCTACAGGATATGGCTTTCGCGGTGGGTTGCTGGTCGCTGTGGTGTCAAAGCCGTGGTTGAACATCGAGGACGAGCTGACCAGAGAGTGCAGGCTGTGGCCTGGGATGATGTGAGCCTGGCGGCGTAGACCTGTGCTAGTATTTTTTTTGTTGTTGTTCCTGCTTGTTCTCGTGGTTGTGGCCGTGGCTGCGGCTGTGCCGTTGTTGTTGTTGTTGCAGTTGCTGCGGCTGTTCTTTCTTGCAGTGGATGTTATGGCTGGATGACTAATGTTTTGCAGCCTGCATTCGGACTGTTGTTGCTGTTGCTACTAGTTACTAGTGACTACTATGCTCGCCATCACTACCATTGCCATAGTGACATCGTGTTGTAAATAATGTTTTTTGAAGGTGATGGAGCTTGCATGGCGGGTCGTTGGGTGTAGAGTGTAGACTTTATATTTTCGGCCTTATCGTCTTCAGTGCGCAGGCTTAGGTCTTTCGCCGCTGTGCCGGAACCTGAAAACTGAAAGGTCACAATCCAGCGTGAGCCATCGTGATTGGTTATAAGTAGGCTAAGAAGTGCTATCATAGGCCATATACATATATCTACCTTACTTATAGCCCTGCTTGAAACTGCCCGTCAGCCTTTGAGTGAACACCGGCAGCGGCCAGGCTTTGCAGCGCTGAGTCGCAGTCTGCCTTGTCATCGCCACGGAGTCTTTTGCCTTCCTTTCGCCTGGCGGATCATTGCTCAAACCCGAAACCTTGTCACATGGGTGTGTTCGATACATCTCTGCACTGATGCTGGCCGAGGCTGTGCCCATACACGCGGGCTGGAATGCCTGCAGAGGCCCACGTCAATGCCATTTTCTCAGGCTCACGTTCTGTGCAATGTCTGCGTGAAACAACACGAGCTTCCCGTCGCTTCTTTGAGGTGACGCTCTTCCTGGCCGGAAACGCAGAGTGTGCTGCAAGCTTGAAGTAATGCCGACGTCTGGACAACGGCACATCGCACGAGAGATACGTAGAGGAGCAGTAGCAACAGCAGGCATTGGTAGTATTGCCAACAATAGTAACATCAGCATGAAGAAGCTCAAAGACGAACCACTTCCCGGCCTCATGGCAGTGGCGACGATAGCCGGACCAGCCGAAGCTACATGCACACCGCAGGTCGACGCACGAATGGACCCTCAGCTTGGTTGCCAGGACCGCTGTTGGCCTTTGATTCCGGGAATTCAGGACGATATATATATATGTTTTGGCATCTGCAGTCAGCTGAGGCTGTAGGTGTACAGCATGTAAACAGAAATTGTTTGTGGTTGCAAGAAAACGACTGACAATGGCGCGCTGAAAGGCTCACGAAAATCCTCCCTGCACGAGAACAATTCTGGTGATAGCAACATTTGATCAACAAAGCTGCTGTACTGCCTGCCATGCTGGAGCCATAATGTTTTGCGGAGCTGGCACAGCTTGCGTCTCAAGCCTGCCAGGGCATAGGCAACGTGGGAACCCGTCCCCTTGTGCTGGAAGACTTATCCTCTCTGTTTCGCTTCTGTTCGAACATCCCTTGCCTGGATTGGGCCTAGATCCCAGTTTCTGCACTCCGGGACCTGCCACGGCTTGAGTCTGGTTGCACATGTGGCGCTCAGGGTTAAGGTAGTTTAGGTCCAAGGTTTTCAGTGATTGAATGGGTCTGGCGACGATCTCGTGTATGGTATGGTCGGGTCGCATCTCCTTTGGTGCTGCAAGTGACTTCCCGGTGCCGCCAGGACGGGGCTCAGGTGGGCGTCCAGAACTTGACCATCTTCCGGCAGGTTGTCAGTCGCCTAACTCGTCCGGCCATATACATGTCTGCATGCATGTACGTTCGGAGGTGCATATGCACGTTCATCGTCTGTAAGCATATTTACATACACCTGTACACATTTACGTATGCACCTATGTACGCAGGTATGTAGGTATCAATGGAGGTATGTATGTGCGTAGGTATGTAGGATTATGCAGGTACGCAGGTATGTAGGTATGTAGGTATGCAGATCATGTAGGCTACGTAGGTTACGTAGGTTTTGCAGGTGTTGAACCCTGTGTAGAAGGTTACGTAGGTTCTGGCTGTCTGTCTGTCTGTCTGTCTGTCCGTATATTTATATCAGTAAGTATAGTATCTAAGTATGTCATAGTAAGTAAGTAGGTGTGTCTGTACGTACGTATGTCTCTGTGTGTGTGTGTGGGTGTGTGTGTGTGCGCATTCGTGTGTATGTAGGTGCATGTACATGTGGGCATGTGTATGAGTGTATCTATGCGTATGCATGTGTATGTACGTGTATGTGTGTGGTTTAGGTATGTAGGTGTGTAGGTAGGTAGGTAGGCAGGTAGGTACGCACTAGTATGTGTGCGCACACATATGATACATGCATTTGCCGTACCGTATGGTGTATTGCCAGGCAAGTACAACGAAACATCTTTGGTGTAGCAGTTTCGTCTCTTCTCTCACAGCTCAGGTTGGACCCTTCTCGGTTCATCCGTCCCACGCAGTGCCGGAGAGGATGGTGGTGCGCTTTACCGTGCACGGCAACTACTTCAGTCCCTATGCAGCCGGCTCCTCGAAGACACGGCCATTGAAACTTTCAATACAATTGGAGCTGCTGGGCGTTGCATCCGCGGTGGTTGGGTTAAACCATGTATAAGGCACACTACTGCCGCTTCCGGGTCACGCCCGAAAACCCGGCTGCGCAACTGACTACGCCACTCGCTGCGGCCCTGGCTTTGTGCATCTACAGCAGGACCGGATTCCGTGGGAGAGGCTTTGATCTGCGAATGTCGGAGCCTTGAATGAGGTCCAGGCGGCCAGGCTGAATTCCACCATGCTCCTTTGTAGCCCGGGCATCCATTGACTTTACTGTCGGATGTGAGGCGTTGGACTCGGTGTGGGTAGCAGGACATGTGGCTACAGGAAGATGGCCTCTCAAATCCTGCTAGCTGCTTTGTTGAAGACCACCGTCTCGCGGTTTTTCTCCCGCAAGATTGCCATGAACTCTTGGTGCCTCAGTGTTAAGCCCCTAGTACAGAATGCCGAAGAGCAGTCTCCAGCCGTGTCGTGGCAGGTACCCTGGAGACGCTGCAGACTCAGCCGGACTCGCACGATTATTACTCTTTTGTAGTACTTTATTTTTATATGTTTTTGTAGGACTAGTTAAGATCATACGGTATTGCTATGATATTAAGGAATGTTGTTAAACCACAAAATTCCAAGAGCTGAATGCTTTGCAGTCTGTAGAGGTCTCGGGGTTTAGGGTTTTGGCTTCAGGGTTTGGGAGGGTTTGGGGTTTAGGGTTAGAGTTGTACACAATCAAGATTATAACGATATTGGACAACATCATTGCAATAGTATATCATCGAAAATAATACGACAAAAATCTGTGAATCCCGACAGACTTAGAATTAGACCCCTTGAGGCCGAAGATGCCACGCATGGCAGCCACCAGGCCACGGGCTTGCAAGGTTTCAGGATTTGGCGCTGTAGCGCGAAGGGCTTTGGGTTTCAAGGTTTGTGGTTTCGAGCTGCACTTTTTGAGGGATATGGGCGATATGGGATCCAGCCTTAGGTGCCGGGATTTGGGGAAGTTTCTGGCGTTTGCACCTTGACACGAAGTTCGCTTACGGGCTGTAGCCGGAAGTCTCAGGGCTAGGTCTAACTTGGGACCCAAGCCCGACACCCACAGGGTTCTGGGTTCTGTCTCCTCCCTCTATCTGACAGATGAAAGATGTTCCGAGACTCCCTGCGGGTACGTTGAACTGGCATCCGAGTCTGCCAGACCGGGAATAGATCTTCTGGACTCCTGTGTACTCTGAAGCAGAATGAGAAGAAAGGCAGTGTGGCGCACGTGCCGTACTTCGCATGCACATCATAGCTGGGCTCTGTGAAAGATGATGGCCAGGTCGCAGACGACAATAGAAGACTGCATGGAGATGCCGTAAGTCGGTGTAGTGAAATATGCTGGCATTCTAGTAGAAAGACTGCAAATACAATGTAGCACACAACACGCTGCAAGGCAATGCCGAATCGAAAAAAATTTCTTGTTGTATATGGCACGGTGCTTTTGTCAGCAGCACCATACAACAAGACAGGAGGAAAGCACAGCATGGTGCATCAATATGGCACACTGTAATTGCGCACCCGATGATGTGATGCAATGCCGCTGCGATGAAACTGCTCGAGCGAAACGGAGCTAGGAACGCACTGATGCAGTATGAGCTAGGGCATTGCAGTTCCCGTGTACAGTATCATGAGTATGACAAAGTGCAACATGCCGCAACATAATGTCAGAGCCTTCTGGCGTATCCTGGGTCTGCCCAGGCTGTCGATCGCCAGTGGCGCAGGGCCCTCGGAACATGTGCTCGGTTTGCATAGCGCCGGAGCTGATATGGTGTGCTGAGAACCTGAAGCCTACTCCCAGCCTGTGCTCAGGAGCTGATGCTTTGCGTCGCTTCCTGCACAGATCCAGGCCGACAAACAAAACGGTTGTTCATGGGTTGGGTTGCTGCAGATCCACTTTGGCGTCGATTCGCAAGCAGGCTCGCGAGAGACAAGTATTGTTCTCCGCACCTTCGATGTCTTCGTCCGAGTCCCAGGTTGACAGTCGTACAATGCCCCATTGCAGGTGGACGAATCATTTTTTGTTGCCTCAAGCAGCTTCTGACAGTGTCACATACCGCGCGGGCAAGGATACATCACCGGAAGTGTTGCACCGATGCAAATGCCGACAGTTTGAGAAGCCTTCAGCTGAATCCATTGTCTTCATGACAACTCTCCACGTGTAACTCAGGATTTTCCAGTCTTCTTGCAGCCGGAGTCGCTTCTGTTGTGCACATCGCTGGTATGCTTGCTGCTGCTAGTTGTTACTCACCACTAGTGTTGTCTTGTTATCGTTGCTCCCATTTTCGCATTGCAAAGGCTCAGCCAACCCTGGACCTGGCCACGTCCAGCCTGACCTACGTGCGACAGGTGGCGGCCGAGCAGGCCTTGTCGGTGGTGAAAATACCGCGAATTTTCTACGGCGGTTTCAGAAAGTTCGGGCTGACTTGTTTGAGTTGTAGGAATCGTCGCCGTCGCACAAGTAGTTCGCGCCCGTATCAGCTATAGCACTGGCACCAGTCCACGATAGCAGAAGCAGTAGTGGCAAAAGTCCTCGCTGCAATTAGTAGGTAAGTAAGTAAGTAAGTAAGTAAGTAAGTAAGTAAGGAAGGAAGGAAGGAAGGAAGGAAGGAAGGAAGGAAGTAAGTAAGTAAGTAAGTAAGTAAGTAAGTAAGTAAGTAGGTGGTGGTGGTAGTAGTAGTAGTGGTGGTGGTAGTGGATGCCTCGTGCAATTCGTAGGTGTGTATGTGTGCTTGAAAGTGCTCCGCCTCATATGCAACTTTGTGGCGCAAGAAACTGCCATAAGCCAACTGCTTACGATTCAGTTGTAGGCATCTGATACTCACGTGGTCAACCTCTACCTCAACACTTGGCACCACAAACAATATTCAAGCTCGGTGAGGTGAGCAACCAGGACAATATCGACAACAAACCCTCACGCAGCTATTATTACTATTATTATTATTAGTAGAAGAAGAAGTAGTGCGACTTCTAGTACTACTGCTACTACTACCACTACTACTACCACTACTACCACTACTACCACTACTAGAGCTACTACTGCTATTTCAAACTGTGTTGCTATGCTTATTTTTCAGAATGCAAAGCAGTGCCTTCTTTGCGAGGCCCTGTTGATCTCCTTCCAAAGCTGGAATCAGCTGCCCGTGTCCTTGCTGCTGGGAGCCCTGTGGAGTCAACACAGACTGGGGTTGAGGGCTACGGGATCCGGCCAACTTTGACGATAGAAACCACCTTAATCTTCTGATCCGACCCTACTGCTCCGTCTCGCTCTGCAAAATGCTACTTCGTTATGATCATCTCAACCTGACGTTGCTACAAATGCCCGTGCTGCTCCATCACGAAGTAGAGTTCCCTTTCTTGCAAGCTACGTTGCAGACCTGCAAGACAACATCGAGCGTAGGCAGGAGCGGAAACAGTAGCTGTGGCGGTGTAGGTGTCCAGCTGTCGAGGCCTTGACGACATGTCAGAGACGGCAGTAAAACAGCATTGTCGCGTGCGGTCGCTTTACTTGTGGATCATGCCGTCATGCTCTACCAAGACTTCTGTTGGATTTGGGGCGAGCATGCTTCAGCACCTGCACTAAGGCCTTGCACAATCTTGACCGGATCGCCTTCTCCGTTTCTCTGTGAGCCCGTCAGGGAGCGAGGGATGGCAGGGGAAAGAGCAAGCCAGATAATTTCATGTCAAGGTCCTATGCCATCAAACCCAGTGCAGGAGCAGCTATTCTACACCTCCAACCTTCGATGCAGAGTGCCACCTGAGCTCTTCGGCGGGACTTGTTGGGAGTTCTTTCTCATTCATCTCGGGTCTACTCCCAAGCAATGCGACTGATGCTTCAACTTTTTCCTTTAGCATGCTGTACCAGGGACGTGCCCAGCGCCCGCGAAGTCGGTTGAGATAAGGTCTGGTGGCATTCTTCGCCAGCCACTGCTTCAATGTGCCGGCAGTCAGGGCGGTCCCCTGACTTTGACTTCCTATTGTGTTGGTATTTCTGTTCTCATTACCATGGCCGTGTTCGCGGAACGTCCCTGCATCTTGAACTCGAGGCTTCAGCCCTGTGAACGTGTCCATCCCCATCGAGCACCTTCCGCCTCCTTCGGTGATCGCCCAGTCTGCTGGGATCTTGGCATGGTGGCTTAGGATAGGCTATATATTGCAATAATGTAACCCTAAACCCTAAACTTCTCTGAACCCTTGTAAAGCATGTTGTGGTCCTCCTTGCCCTGCATGTAGCTGCTAGATGTTATGCTGGCACAGATCCGGCATTCCTGTGCCCAGTTCTTCGCGCTGCCCTTAGTGACATCGTGAAGCCGTTATGCATGCATCCTCGCCCTGCCATATGTTACCAGGGAATCCCGAGTTAGATACTTATAGCTTATAACCTTTCTAGGACTTCCGTCCCTATCCCTATCCTAAACCCCTACACCCTAAACAAAACAAGGCAAGCCTTGCTCTCCTCTGGCAACAGGTCGCGGATCTCCACGTGGACGCACCAAATTTGATACGTGCGGACCTTACGGGATAATCTGGAAACCCTAGGCCCCAAGCCCCAAAGGGCCCAAAGCAGCTCGAGAAGGCCCTAACCCTCAAAGTTATGCCCTCCGAACTCTTTGGTGCAAGTGGACAATAGCCCTCACGTTAATCTGGCCAATTTCCCTCCCGAGCCCCTAAACCTTGAGAAGAGTTGGTTCGGGTTGTCTGGCCGCCTTCGACGCTGGAGTGGGTGGGTGAATGTCTGGGCTGGCTGCACCCGAACACCTATCCTTGTCGCAACGTCAGCCAATCATCTTAAAACCCTTAACCTATTAAGCTCCCAGAGAGGTCCCGGGAGTGCGTAGCCAATGAGACTCGTAGGAGTCCCAAGCTCCAACTTCCAAATCTGCGAGGCTTCCGGGACAGTCTCAACCACCGGCGGACCAGTGACCGCGCCCGAGATCGGGTTTTCACGGTTTCGGCCCTTTATAGTCCAGACCCGAAGCCCTATAGGGACGAGAGAATGCAAAGGGTCTCGCTTTTGAAGCAACGGCAGCATACCTTCATCGAAACATGAATGAATGCAGACAAAAACATAACATACCAGCATAATCACAAGAACAACAGATACAATGCATAAAACTATATCGGCTAGTGAGAATACTTATCAGGGAACAGGGCAAAGGGACGAACCAACCAGTCCATGTTAATGAGAGCGATACTCATGGTTTCAATGACGACAGCAACAACCATGCTGCTAATGCTAAACGGGCGCTCTGTAGACGATGCCACATTCACGAGATTCAGCTGTGTTCACCGTTGCACTGTGCATCAATTAAGGGGTTGCGCATTAGAGCCAAGACAGTCACGAGTCCGGTGCCACATGTGCTGACATTCCAGGCTCCCCTACGAATAATTTCTCAGCTAGTACCAACAGTAGCAACAGCTGAGACGATCAAGGATACTTACAAGACTCCGCACCCTGCTGCTCGTGGTATAGTCAGTCGTAGCTGATAATGGTAGCCGAGTGCTGCAGCCTTCCCGCATTGCGACCAGCACGAGCTCGCTGGAGTTGGAGGATAGGTCAGCTGCTTTTCTGCAATGTGGCGCGCCTGGCTCAGGTGGAGCTGGTGCTGCTGAGCTTGGGGCTTTCGCTTGCTGCCTGGGAGGAGCTTCATGCATGGCTTGTCCCATTGGCCTGGGGGGCCTTAGACGTTCTTGTCAGGATGGGCAGGAACATGCATGCTCGCATACCTTAGGGCTTGCTGCAGCACAATTCATTACACATTCCGCAACCCTGTGCACCGGCAGTTGTTGTGGTTCCACGGGCAGGTAGGCGGGTAGGGGTGAAATGTGCAATGGCACAATCCTGCCTGGCTGGCAAGCCTCGCACTGCACTGGAGCTGTATGCAGCAGCTGTGCAGAAGCATGCGCATAACGCGCAGTCGGCCTTCAGTCCACCAGGATTTTTTCCGATGTATACCGTTCCGTTGGAGGCACTCATGCGTATGAGCAAAGTCCGACCCCTCGAACAACTCAAAGCAGAAGGCATCATCGTCGTGTTTAATGAGAGTTTGGGCAAAGCCATTTTCATATCCCATCAGTGGAGGGGTCGGGGCCATCCTGATCCAGACGGTCGGCAACTCCACGTCCTCCAGATGGCTTTTAAGAACCTCCTGTCTGGTGCATCGAGCATCTCGACACCAATCATCACAGAAATCGTGTTTGGCTCCGTACGTGCTCCCTCGGCAGCTGAACTGCGCGACACGCCTCTTTTTGTCTGGTATGACTACTGCAGCTGTCCGCAGGAGTGCCTTGACGGCGTTAACAGTGACCAACTGAGCGCGATTAATAGCATTCCTTCCTATGTCGCCAGATGCGAGTACTTCGTGATCCTATGTCCAGCGCAGGAGGATGAGTCTCAGCAGATATTAAGTGCGAAAACTTATACTGAACGGGCTTGGTGTCGAGCAGAGCGCGCGGCCCGCGAGCTCGCCTGCAGCAGCGGGGTCACCTTTGCGGTGGAGAGCCCTACACATCAGACTCTTGTCAACCAACAGCTAGGTTTCCTGCTCCCTCCGGGCGAAGGCCAGTTGACGGTGGATGAGGACCGGCAGAAGTTGGCCAGCATCATGGTGCAGCTCATTTGGAACAAGCTCTCGCACTGCTTGGCACAAGGTGACTTGCACATGTACCGCCTCATTTTGAATCAGCAAGAAGGGCGACTAAGGGGCCTGAACACCGACCCCATCGACCTTGCCATACCAGGTTTCGAACCGGAGGTGGATCCGGATGAGGACCCGGAAGAGTTTATGCTTTCAAACTTTATGCATCAGAATGGCTTCCAACACATTTCCCAGAGGGACGCGGCAGGGTGGACCCCTTTGTGCTACGCAGCCATCAATGGCAGCACCCTCATTGTCTCTGCACTTCTGATGCGCAAAGCTGATCCGAACGACAAAATAACAAAGAAGGATCCACAGGCTTTTGCTCAGAAGGATACTTCCGTCGTCAGCCTCTGTGCTTGGTACAACCGGAATGAGGCCCTGAAGCTACTACTGGCAGCACGTGCTCATCCTGATGCACAGTCTGCACTAAAGCAAACAGCTCTAGAGTGGGCCTGCTGCGGGAATAACGTCGAGGGAATCCGTCTGCTTCTGGACGCCCGTGCGGATCACAGCATCCAGAACGTCATGGGCTGCACTCCCTTTCAGGCTGGTTGCTGCATGGGATCCGTGAAGTCCATGGAGGCCATGCTGCGTCTCACTCCGGGCTCCCTGGCATCAAGTTTTACAGTTTTGGCTTTTTCTGATGCTAAGATAGGGTACTGGTAAGGCTCTTCGCGGAAGCAAGAGCGCAGAGCCTCTAAGGTCAGAAGCTGGAGCACGGCCTCCACTTCAGCCTGATGTTGGGAGAGGGTTCGAGTCAGGCAGTCTCCATGTTGCTGCAGGCGCGTGCAGACGTGAATGAGAAGTGTGACTTCTTTCGGACGAAGACCTATGGCTGGTGGACTCTGCTCCGAGCGCTCAGCTTGGCACATAGCACCGGGTTCTCCTCCAAGCTGCGAAAGCTGGCATACCACCACCGTGGCGCGACCCCCTTGATGTTCAGCATACTAGCCGGCACCTTCGACGCAACACATGCCCTGCTCCAGGCCGGAGCGAACACAGACCTGAAAAACTGCCGTGGGAAGCAACCCCTGGACCTTGCAGAGGAGCTCGGGGCTGGCCCAGAATTACTGAAGGCTCTTCGGCAAGCCCCAAGTTCTCAAGACCACCAGGGCCATAGCTGTCATCAGTTTGAGGCATTCGACTTCGGCCCCATCATTTCCGAGGCGTTCTGAAAACTGAAGCAGAGCTGCAGCTCGGTCAAAGACGCGGCGGAAACTGATTTACTTGCGAAGTTTGTCGCATACATTCGTATGTCATCCTTCCTTAAGGGAAGGTTTTTCCACTTTCCATGCTGAGCACTTGTTCAGACCGTCGCAAGGTGGTGCGGTGAAGAACGTGGCAGACTGACAGGTGACCGGTCGTGGAACGTCGAACCTCGTTTGTCTGCGGAGGATCAGCCGTCCGAGCTGGTCGGAAGAGCGGTGGACGGTTGTCGTCTCACAAGGACGGCTTAGAAAGCTTGCGCAGTCTGTGCAATGTGTACGCAAATGCACGTGCAGGTCAGGACCGGTTCCCCCTGGAGTCCTTAAAGGATCGCGCACCTTCGCAGATGGCCGGTGCCTCAGCAATCTCTGCCCAGCTTAATCTCCAGCCGAGAGGTCCTGAACCCTAGGACCTAGGACAGGCAACGCAATCCTCGCAGCAGCAGTTGCTTCTTCTACTGTGGCTTCTGCTTCTGCGGCATTGCTGAAAGGGTTGGAGCCCCGTTTATCACTTTAAGACCCAGGGATGCCTTTCCAGACCTGCAGAGTGACACTATCCGGTTCGAAAAGCCCCATGCCGGGATGGCGTTGTACATGTCGTATCACTGTACGGCAACACAGTACTTTGGTATTGTGGTAGTAGGCATAACGGTCTTCCATGATCTCTGTGCTTTATTGTGTTACAGACCTCTGGCTCATGAGGCACTTGAGCAGTTCAATCCCAAGGCTTGTCTAAGAGGTTTAGGGTCTAGAGCCTCGGAGTGTAGGCTTCGGGTTCCCCTAGACCCGTCCGCCCCAAAACCCCTGTTGGCCATCCGATCCCTAGCTGAAGGCCTTGTCGCCTACCTTGGTGCCAACGCCAATGGAACGAACTCCTTCGTCTGCAGGTTCGAGGTGTCGCAGGCTCCTCAGGCTCTGCATCGAAAGCTCTTCGTTTCCAGGGCTAGAGTGCTTGAAAGGCATGGCCCTTTGCCCAAGGTCTGGAATCCAGGACATTGTTCCCTGGAGCGAGCAGGCGAGTGTCTCTGGCCCATGGCATGTGGATTTAAGTCATGCGCCCTCACTAAACCCAGAAGCCCAAAAGCCGAAAGCCTGCACACCCCAGACCCGAAGCTGCTCCCGACAGGAGCAGCCGGCCCTGAACTTGTCCCTGCACTTCAGGACAGTCGGGCTGCCTCTGCTGGCTACCTAAATTGATAAAGCACCCCCCGCAAAGCAGTGACAGAAGCCAGCGATCAAGAGCCTCCTTCGTTTCTGTTTTTGAAGCCGGCAGCCTGAGCTAAGGAAATCCAGCTTCCTGGGTTCACACCTGAGGCCACAAACTGCAGGTCCGTTAATGAATGCACCCCTCCACAATCCCTGCATGTTCAAGGTGCAAGTTGCCTGTTTTTCTGAGAGGAGCGGCTTCTTTTTCGACACCAGCCGCTCCGTCAGAGTTCATCCACAGATCTCCGGCGCCAGGCCGGGCCAATGTAGCCCGATCAGCGTGCCGAACTAGTCTTCGAACACGGCTTCATTTCTCTCGTGCTAGGCCGCTGGGAAATATGCAGAATCATCTTCTTACTCTTGGAAGCTCTGACCATCTTTCGAAAGAAGTCATCTGTAGTCGTCTCAGTACTGCTACCGCTGACAACACGGGCCGGCAACCCCCAAAAAGTAGGGCATCTTGCAGAGAACACCTCCTTAGCAACGCTGTCGTTCTCATCAGTCTTGTTCTTATGCTCCTCAGAACTATGACAATGATTACGCTTGTGACCACTGGCAGCATGTTCATTATTGTCACTTGTATTCCTGTTGTGAACTTGAGCTTGGGTATCAGCCTTCTCTTATTTTCTCCTTCTGCTGGAACTTGATTGTCAATGTCAATGTCATGCTCATAATGCTGTTTGCCACGGCTTTGGGAGACAGACACGCACACACACACCACGCATATACACAAATCATGTGGTGCTCAGTGGTACCCGTTGTGGCTATGTGCCCCTGTGCAATCATCGATGCACACACCGATTCAATTGTCTCTTTGTCGCTGTCTGAAGTCTTAAGACGATAACTCTTCGCGGTAGCTTCAAAGGTATCATCTGTTGGGCGACAAGACACAGCTTGAGGGGATCATCACTTCCTTTCAAGCGTGAACTTTGCAGGGCGCTTCCAACGGCTTGCGCTGCAGCATCCCCGGGGATGGGTTGGCAGTCGACGGTTTCAAGCCCTGCAGCCTGAACCCCTTTAAGCCCAAGCTTCTTCTGACCCAAAAACATCCAAAGCCCAAGACCCAACACACACAGAGACCCAGAAACCTCAATAACCTCTCCGACCGATGCAGAAATAAGCTGCAGTCTGCCCTCTGTGATGTCCATACTGGGGTTTCAGGCTTCGGCTTGTCATCAGGCTTGCGGTTGAAGGTTCTCTCGCAACTGTCGAGAATATATCTGACAGTCCGAGGACTTGCATCACTGCTCTGTGCTGGTCATGGGCTCCGGCTTTACGACTGGTGCAGCGTGCTCCATTCATGCTTTTCCTGTCGGCATGGACATCTACTGCATTCCTAGCTTTTGAGGATTCGAAACGGAGGGCCTATTTTTTTGGGTC